AAAAACGTTTTTTTCAGCTTTTTTTTTTCGAAAATTTCGATTTTCAGCCTAACCGCGGAAATTGAAAAAAAAAACCAAAAAATAGCAGAAAAATTTGAAAAATTTGGAAATTTTAAAAATCTGAAAATTGCGAGGCAAAAAATGTTTTTTTTCTGAAAATATCGATTTTCAGCCAAACCCAGACTACTCCTCTGATATTCTAACGCCTCTCCAAATGTGGTACGTCCAATCCTGCCTTCCGAATTTTTATTTTCCCGCCAAACCAATGGAAACTCCTGGAGCCGGACATTGGACACCGCTATACACGTCTCTACAGCACGGAATCAGTACAAATCGCTTTGAGACCCTTGTATTCGATTATCGTGGGCCTACAGTAACCGTTTTTCGATTAAAAGATGAGCGAGTGGTAGTGTTGGCGTCGGATCAGGAGTGGAGGTGGGAAAACAGGAGAATTCAAAAAATTTGATTTTTCAGATTTTCGAAAATTTCAAAACTCCCGAAAATCATAAAATTCCGAAAAATATGAAAATTCCGAATATCTGAAAATTTGAAAATCTCGGAATTTCGAAATTCTCAAGGTTTTTCAAATTCGGAAAATCTCAAAATTCCATAAATTTCGAAAAATCCAAATATCTGAAAATTGTGAAAATCTTAAAATTTTGGAAATTTCGTAAATCCAAAAAATCTAAAAACCCCAAAAACCGAATATTCCGAAATTTTGAAAAGGAAATTAAGATGTAAGAGGAAATGAGTTTCTTTTTTTAAAATACGCTTTCTTTAAAGCTTAAAATGTGACAAAGGACCTTAAAGAGCCAAAAATGTGAACAAAAAACGGAAAAAAAAATGTTTTTTGGAAAAGTTTGAAAATTCCAAAAATCTAAGAATCCCAAAATCTGAAAAAAAGTTTAAATCCGATTTTCAAAATTTTCAGAATGGTTAAGTTTAAAAATTTTTTCAGATTTTCGGAATTTTTGAAAACTTGAAAATTATAAGATTTTGAAATTTTCAATTTTTTGGAAATCTGAAAATTCCGAAAATCTCAAAATCTAATAATATATATAGAAAATCCCAAAATCTAAATAATATTCAAGGATCTGAAAATCTAAAAATCTGAAAGTCAAAGTTCTCGAAATTTTGTGAATCTGAAATTTTTGAAATGTTCGGAAAACCTAAAAATTCATACAATCTCAATATCTTGGAAATTTCGTAAATCTCGAATCCCTGTAAATCTGAAAATCTGAAAATGTTGAAAATCTCGAAAGTTGTTGAAAACCTGAAAATTCCGAATATCTGAAACTTCAGAAATTTCGAAAATCTAAAAATTCTGTATTTCTGAGAGCCTTGAAATTTGGAAATCTCGATAATTTTAGAACTTCCAGATTTTCATAATTTTCAGAATTTCAGATTCTTGTAATTTCAAGATTTCGTAATTTTGGAAATCTGAAAATCTGAAAATTTCGAGAATCTAAAACATTTGAAAATCTAAAAATTAAAAAATCTGAAAATACTTCCAGACACTCTGGCACCCGATTCGGCGGTCCACTAACCAGTTTCTTTGAAATCCACCCGACACTCAAACGAATCGACGAGGCGAATTCGATTTATTGTAATCTAAAACTTCGTACCATGGCCTACGGTATCAGTTTCAAAACGACAGAATTGAAAATTGGAAAAGATTTTGATGAGGTCCTGGATATCGAAGTATGGGGATGTGCCGGTCAGGGAACACTTGCCGAGCAGCAAAAATTGAAAAATTGGCAGAAACAGCAGGTGGGGAATTTTGAATTTTGGAAAAAAAAATTTCAATTAAAACAATTAATTTTAATTTAATTATTTTTTTAATTTTTAAAAATATTTTTTTAATTTAATTTTTTTTAATTAAAAAAAAATTCCAGACCGAGAAGCACAAAAAAGTGCCACTACCTGGAAATTGGGATGATAATCCAGATAAAACACTCCTCGAAATGGCCGGATTTCAATTTTCCAACGAACGAGCCGCAATGGAAATGGAGGCCAAGAAACGAGAAGAGGAACAGAGCCAATCGGAAAAAAGTCAATCGGAAAAATAAGATTTGTGGGATTACTGTATTTCTCCACGACCACTACTACTACTGTATAATAATTTGTGTTTTCATTTATTGCAATGATTTGATATGATATGTGTCACTTCCCCTAGCGAATTCACTTGTAGCTTTGAGATTATAAAATAAACTATTTTATCTTTAAAAATTACAAACTTTAACAGAAAAAAAAACAATTTAACAAGTTTTTCTTCTCTGAAACAATGGAATCAATTTGGAAATTGGTAGATCAAAAAAAAAATTTTTTTTGAAAAATTTTTTGTAGATCAAAATTTTCGTATCGATTTTTTCCTCCGACTTTTGTAGTTGAATTTTCGGCGTTTTTTCAATTGTTTTCTGCTTGTTTTGCCGCTTAAAACTCCTGGCTGGGGCGCCTACGACGCGACACTAATTTTGAGACCAACACAACAGTCACTTTTGAGCTCAGATATCTCGTTTCCTATGAAAGATTTCTGAAATTTGTCAGCTGATACAATTTTGGTGATATTATAGTGAACACTTTACCGTTTGACAGATTTTGGATTATTTTCACATCAACCGAAATAAAGTAACT